ACAAATTTTTGTGCACCGGGCCTCTAGTAATAATATAAGACCAAAAGATCGTTTTAAAATGTGTTTTGTTGTCTCCAGTAACCTTAGAGAAATATTGCAAGCTTTATGTATGTTAGACATAAGGAACATATAATAGACCAGTTCTATTAGGTATGATGATCTACTCAATATTCAACTGGATCTTGTTTTGTGTTATCATGAAATTCTTAATGACAAATGTAGATAGTCATTAATTTTCATGTGTGTGTATGTGAGAGTGTTATGCCCAGATTTCAAGACCCCAAAAGACACCACCAGGGAGCGCCAAGTCCGATGCCAAAGCATAGAATCTTTTATTCAAGCCCAGGCTTGGTCCCCTTCTGCCTCCATTACTAGATGCGAGAGAGAGCCCGGAGTCCCAAGAGAACAAAGAATTTATAGGGCTTGGGGTTCGGGGGATGGGGGCACACTTGGACCACTGATTTGGCCAATTCCAGTTGGTTGAGTGAGGGTCAGGGGCTAGTGATGCAAGGGCAGGGTTCAGTTAGGGTCTGATTTCACAAAGACAGGGGGGTGTTCAGCATACTTTCAGCCTTGAGTTTGTTTTCCCTGGCATTCCCATTGGCTGAGATAAGAGCAGGCTGAGTAACTGATAAATTCTATGGCTTTTTCTAGAAGAGGAGTTAGGAACACAGCTATCAGTCCTGTTCTGTCCTTTTATTCCCCCCTTGTCTTGGAACTTCCGGCTCAATCATGAGATGGACTGCATTTCTATTTTACCTTCCGTCGCTAGAGGCCTGTACTGGGCTTGCAAAACCATCAACTGGACCACCCCTATGCGCTTTTTGACAAATCAGACTAGTCTGTTAATAATGCAAGGGCCGAAAGTCAACAGCATTAGGAGGATTTCAAGGGGTCCCGTGAGGTCCACTGTCACAGAAGGAGCTGGGCTTGTGACCTGGCAGAAACAAACTACAACAAATGGTCTGGTGGAGGGAAAGAAACCATTTTAGCTTTAACAACTTCTATTGAAGTAGGATTTTTCTTCTTAAAAATTCCTCTATGGCCATCAAAAAGCCAAATCAAGATTTATTTATCTACTGTATTCAATTTGGCCTGATGTTTGCATAAACACAACAAGAATGGTAACTGACTACCTTTGCTGGAATCTCATGATTGAATCTTAATGTGCCCCGTAGGGCCAGGAAGCCAAGCCATCCA